TGTGAAGGTTACGCGTTGGTTGTGAATGTTAAGTTTAACAACCAACCCGTAACCCTAACAACCAACGCGTAACCTTAAAAATTAACGCGTAACATTCACAATCAATGTGTAACCTTAACAAGTAAACATGTAACCTTCACAACCAACTTGTAAAACCTTCATAAAAATAAAAAAAGAAGGAAATAGAATTTTTTTTTAATTTTTGGACTTCTACTATAATAATTCATAAAAAATAAAAAGCAGTAACAATTTTTTAGACTTCTACGATGATGTATACGTTTGTTTTAGGTGGTTGGAGTGAGCTGGACTTTTTAATAATATTTCACTTTTAATTTTCATGAAATTTTCAAAAGGCAAGTGATTTACGTGTTGGTTGTTAAGGTTACACGTTGGTTGTTAAGGTTAAGCGTTAGTTGTTAAAGTTATACGTGTTGGTTGTTAAGGTTACAGGTTATTTGTTAATGTTACGTGTTTTTTAGGTTGTTAAAGTTACGCATTGGTTGTTAAGGTTACAGTTAACCTTAACAACCAACCCGTAACCTTAACAAGCAACCCGTAACCTTAACAACCAACCGTATAACATTAACAATCAACCCGTAACCTTAACAACCAACGCATATAACCTTAACAACCAACGCTTAACCTTAACAACCAACACGTAACTTTAATAAGCAACTCATAACCTTAACAATCATCACGTAAAATCTTAACAAGCAACCGTAACCTTAACAACCAACACGTAACCTTAACAACCAACACGTAAATAAAACCACTTGGTTTCAGAATAAAATCAAGGATTTGAAGGCAAAAACTTACAATCAGGCCTTCTATCTCCCACTACAAGCTGAACATCACCACACTAGAATCACACTACAACTGAACAACAACAAGCCTGCAGGCTCTTTTAACACCAAGAGCTAGCATTAATTCAACCAGTAGGTAGCAAGAATTAATTCCACGAAGTGCAGACACACCTAGCTGCCATTAATTCTCAAATTAAGAAGAGGAACTTCTGTGAAGAGAGATGGAAGAGGAGCTTAAGGTTTTAAAGGAGCTAGGGTATTTGGAGTTTGTGAAGGTGGGCATATGGGCATGCATGTGAATGTGTTGGCACCAACATAGTTGATGACGTGGATGACCTTCTCGGCGTCTATGGACAAGACGATGGTTTGGTTGGAGCGGAGGATAAGGAGGGGGGAGGTGGATGAGGTAGAGCCGGTGCTCGTCGGACTTGAGCTTGCGGACATTGCAGGGGATGACGGCGGTCAGGGACAGAGACATCAGGGAGAAGCACTGGAGGGGGGAGGAGGTGATCAATGCCCATAAGAGAGATAAAGAGTATTATAGTCTTTACCCGTGTAAAATTCTTGGGCTTTGTGTTTTGGGGGCTCAATGCATAGTTCTTACGAATTTAGGGGTTTTGAGAGCGTTGAAAAAGTCTTGGGGGGAGCATGTTTTCATTGGTTTTGGGGGCTGGAAGCATTTTCCCTAAAATTTTTACAAGATGAATTATAACTTGTAAGAACAATGAACAACAATCTCAGAAATTGAACAATCACAAACAAGAGATTTATACTGGTTCCACCGCCCCGGGTGTACATCCAGTCCCCAAGTAAATCCCGTTTGAGATTTTTACTATGATTTTAAAACCAATTACAAAATCAAATCTGATCAATTTGTAAGTCCCTGTAAATTATAACACTAATCTCTACACCAAGAGATCTTCTCTCACACCTGAAAGAAACATTCTTTGAAGAAAAACACACCTATAAGCCTTGATGTGAATGTGAAGTGCAGCAGTGGCTTAGAAACTTTTACTCTCTGAAAATTTGCCTAATCAATCTTTAGTAATGATGGGGAACAAAAGGCAATCTCATAACTTCCTTTTCTTGACATTTAGAATGAGAATTTGTATCAAGAGAGGATAAATTTGCTCAAAATTCGAATCTTATAAGTACTAATGTTAGTGCACAAATTCTGATGTTAAAACTTATTTATAGCCTCTGAAATATTCAAAATTTAAACCAATTAACGTTTAAAAACGTCTATAAACGTTCACTTATTCAAATTCAGAATAGTTAGAAAAACTTTTTTTGTAGTCGACTACTAAGCTTAGTAGTCGACTACACTGAGTCTATTCAGACTTTGTGAAGTCGAAACAGGGTTAGTTGTCGACTACTTAAGGCATTAGTCGACTGTAAAACTTAAGTTTCTGTAAGTTGACTGAGAATGACTAGTCAACTATTAAGCATAGTAGTCGACTAATCTGTAAATATGAAGTTTTTGTAACTTTGACTAATCTGTAAATATGAAGTTTTTGTAACTTTGACTAAGGCTTTTATAGTCGACTACTAAGGGTATTAGTCGACTACAAATACATAGATATGAGATATTTTATATGTTTTGACTCACTCTATATCAATAAATTCTAATGATTAATTTAGGGGATTTCTATAGTTAACCACACACTAAGCATGTGTTAGTGTGTTTAAAATACTATGTGCGTGTATATGTTGTGAGTGATCAATGCTTTTACAAGAATCTAAACAAAGAAAATAAAATACAATTTGACAATTACGCACATATTCTTCTTTGCTTGTCTTGTTGCCTTGAACTCATCCCTGCACTTAGTTCACATATCTTGAGCATATCAGATATTGTTATTTGTATTGATATGTTAGTGCATATATAATACACATAGTAAATAAATTGTTGTCATCAAAATTATATCTTGGGGACAAGATATTCAACATTATTTTCCTCTCATTTTCACTAGCTTGTGGGAGAGAAGACTTGATGAATAGTTTGAACTTTAACTGTTCTCAGGATTCTCTCAATTTCATTTTCTTTTTGTTTGCTTTACAACCAAAATAGAGTATTTGACTTTTTTACTTTTCTTTTTTTTCTATTCTCTCATTTTTCCTCAACCAAAGTCAAGCTAAATCTTAATCTTTCATATTTTGTAATTAGAACCCTCAAATGATTAAACTTGCTATTAGATCACTTAGTTCTTAGGTTGTTTCGAAATTGTCCTTCAAATAATTTAAATTGCTATTTGGTCTCTCGATTCTCATTAAGTTATTTTAAATTAATATAAATTTTTACAGTTGTTATCCTATTGTTGATTGAAGGGGTTAATTTCAAAATAACTTAAGAATTGCGATATATGTTTTACTATCTACTCTAAATTAGTATAAATTTATAATATCACATGTCTTTTTATCAATTTTAAACTAGTATATAGAGTATAGAAAATCAATGTCAATATAAACAATAAAAGCCAAATGCAAACGGTTGAAAATTAGTGCCAATAAATATTATACACACACACACACATATATCATTGCAATCACAATTTAAATGTGTTATGTGAGTGGATGACTCAGTATGCTTTTTTTTTTCAATTTGTGTGCCTTTTTTTAACCTCAACATTTATCAGGTTGAGCTATTTTATGTTGTTTAAATGTTAACATAGATCAGGTTTAATCCTCAGTATACATCAGTATACATCCTTTTTCATTATACATTTGTGTGGCCCATTGGGAAATGCACCAGCAAGAGATTCTCACTCGCGAGCAATTAACTCATACAGAAGAACGCTAACTCATGTGGAGAGAAGGGTTGGAGTCACACTTGATGCCTGACATTTTGCCATTTTCCACAGGTTCATGGGAAGAGCACAAAAATGAGAGTTTGAGGCTATTCCCTCCGATTTTACCTCATTTTCATTTTAATTTTCGTTCTAACCAAACGGAAATATGTTCTCTTAATTATTTTCTTTTCTTCCTTTCCATTTTCATTCAAAACTAACATAGCTTTCAAAGTCAAGTTTCTTAGAAACCACTTGGGTGATGGGAAATTTTATAGGTTAATTTTCTTGTCAGTCTTCTTTTTAGCAAGGTTGTGAAAAGTGAAAAATGGAATGAAACAGTGAAGCGCTGCTTAGGCTTTTTCGAGTTTAGACGGATTGAAGTGGAAAAAAGAGCAGAGTAAAAGCTATCTAGTTCAGATATAGATAAGTATTCAAAAAAATTTCAGGAAAAATCTAAAAGTTCTACAAATGCACAAATTGATGATTTAGAGAGATCCTAAGCATGCAATAATTGTGTAACAGTCACATAATATTGATCGAGATGATGGATGAGAGGGAGCAGGGGAATGAAGCTTTGATGAGGAGCTTGCTGGAGATGGTGAAGGAGCTCAAGAGAGGTGGCGGAGGATGGTGAGAGGTGGCGAGAAAGGGAGCCGGAGATGGCGGGAGAAGATGTTGGAGGCAAGAGAAGCACTTAAAGGCGGAGTTGGAGGTGGGAGGTGGTGGATGTGGAGGATGATTCCGGGTTTTAGGGATTTTTACATTAGTAACAGAGAAAAAAAGAGGGATCATGGAATATGAGGGGTTTTAGTGTTAAAAACGGGTTCGGGTCATGTTGGTTGGTAAATGGAGACCGTTTATCATCATTCACATTTTGACTAAGCGCTATTAAGTGCTATTAAGCGCTTTCTAGCGCTTTTGACCGCTTTGGCTTTTAGAGATTCTGTCAGGAGTTTTACATGATATTCTAATCATTCCCTCTTAAAATTTTGTGTTCATTCCATTTTACTCTTCCTGAGGAGAGGGTCTTGCTGTGGTGCTCTTCTGTTAAGTCATAGATCCATGATTAATGCTAATTTTGTTTTGGCTATTTTTGAGGAAACAAACAAATTTGTCAAAGGGTCTAGCTGGTTGACCCCTATGCAGTTTTGCTATCACACTGTTAATTTTTGAAAATAATATTTTCTTTGTCAATTGGATATGAGGACTGATAGTGCAGTAACTCTATACTTTATTGCAATGACCTGATCCTTTTACTCTTTTGATGTGCCTACACCATTTACTTGTTTCTCCTTGTGGATTTATTTTGATTCCTAGTCTCAAATAGACATTTTTTTCTGCTTTTGAAAACCTGAACATTCTAATTACCTTATGAGACTTGTCTGGATGGAACTTTTCTCTCTTGAAGGTTCGCGGAGACTTTATTCTCTTAAGTGGCGATACAGTTAGCAACATGAGCTTAAAACAAGCACTTCATGAGCACAAAGAAAGAAGGAAAAAGGATCCACTTGCTGTGATGACTATGGTCATCAATCACTCTAAACCTTCATCCATAACACATCAAACTAGACTGGGCAATGATGAAATCGTAATGGCAATTGACCCCGAGACGAAACAACTTCTGTACTATGAGGACAAAGTAGATCAGTTAAGGCAGTTTCTCTCTCTTGATAAGGCATTAATGGCGGACAATCCTTCTCTTTGTTTGCATAATGATAAGCAGGTAATTCTGATTCAAAGTTCTATTTATGTTTTCACATTTCTTTATTATTTGTAAATGACAGAATGATTTTGGCAGCTGTCTTGTAAGTGCTAGGAGAGGATAAACCATGCATTTTTAACCATTTAGGTTTTTGACAAAACTTGGTTGTTTTTTTGTAGTTATTTGTATCACTTAATTATTTTTACTTCCATCTTTTGCAGTTCGACAAGTTCTTGTTTTAAAACAAAGACCTTTACTTATGGCTACCATCTTTTTAATATGGCTAGCATCCTCTCAGATCCCCACTTTTGACCATTTCTCATGGATTCTCTTTCACATTTAATTGAAAACTTTGAATTAAGGCATTTCCTACTGTTGACCATTTCTCATGCTTTCTCTTTCATGTTTATTTGAAAACCTTAGTTCTTCATGAACATAAAACATTTGACTAAACTTGAGCTCTTCTAGCCTTTTTACCTTCTTAACTTTCATCCTCATTGACACGTCAAGTATTAGTCTTACGACTTCTTTTTTCATGGAAACATGCTTCATATGAGTAAAGCAGAAAATTTAGCTGCAAGTGTACTTGCTTAACTGTTATATGACCTGGGTTTGACTAATGGTCCTTCAGGTTGTAAACTTAGTGGACAGGCACCTTAGTTCTTACATATACCTCACAGTTACAGTTCTATTGGTTTTCTCATTTAGGATGCTGATATGTCTAAGAGACGTTTCAATTTAATTTCCCGTTTATTTGAATAATGAATTATTAATGTTGTCACCTAGCTAAGCATGTTTTGTTATTCAAGTGAGTAAATTTTCTAATATATATAAATAGGTGAATTCAAGCTTGTATTCTGAATTATTTTTCATCTCTCTTCATGCACCATCTTCATGTTTGCTCTTTTTTTGATCTTTTAAATCTTGGAAAAATATGTTCCTTCCTCCATATGTTATCTTTAACAGCAGTCACATCCCTGTGATTCAGAGGCTTGGAGAACCTGTGTTTTGGCGTTGTCTGATATCTTAATTTTCAATAGCGACAACCATCACCAATGTACATGTGCCATGCAGACTTCTGTATATTGCAAATGGGTGGCAGAGATTGATCACAGAGAGAACAAACACTAAATGCTGGAATCCGATATAAATTAAAGGATGGGCAGAATATATTTTCTCTAAAAAAATTCGTGTCATTAGCCACAAAATCTAATTTGTAATAATGCCTGGTTATAGCTGAAAAACTATGCAAATATCTTAATAATGTACAAAACACATAACTTAATAACATACAAATAAAAACATAACTAAAGTTGTCTTGTCACTACGAAGTATGGCCATAAAACACAACCTAAAGTTGAATGACTAACAATCAGAAAGTAAAATAAAGTAATTATCATAAAGAATGTTATGATTTATGAAGCAACATGAAGTGAGCACCACAAAGATTGTCTTAAAATCAGTGATAACTAAAGGCTAAAGCTAATATCACGAAAAGCTTCCACAAATGAGCAAGGTTTTAAATGTCGGTGTTGGATTCATGTCGGAAGGCTAAAGTTCATGTCAGATAGCAAAAATCGGGGATATGTCGGGGGACATAAAAAAAAGTTTTGGATTGCCATATCGGATGGTGTGCATGTGTAATATAATATCATAAGTTAAACCTAAATATACTTGGTAAACTCTATCGCCTACACATATAAAAAAAAGCAAATAACTTATAATATTTGGGAATTAGGATCACTATTTCAAGAGATCTAGTCAATTTGTGCTATCCATAGGATATTTGCATGTCAACATGTGTGATTTACATCATTATTCTTGGTACTTCTATTAGACTAGTCAAGTTTGCATTGTTGTATATCTCTGTTGTTTCAAGATATGCTTCAAGTTTCTCTGCTTGATGGCTAATACACATCTCACATTTGATGCACTTAATGATTGCAACCAGAGAGACAAAGAGGCTGAGAGAACGAGAGAGGCGAAGAAGCTGAGAGGGGCTGAGAGAGATGGGAAAGAGAGGAGTACCTTTTAAAGAAAAAGGACTATTGAAGGCTTGAAGCTTTAGGATTTACTCCCCACTGTTAAACACTCAAACCCTAGTTTAGAGAGAGAGAGAGAGAGAGAGAGAGAGAGAGAGAGAGACTTTGATTTGATGATGTGTCTTTAATTTTGCAACAAAGAAGAAGAAGTTGAAGCCGTTGTCGCTGCTGTGTTTTTGATTTGCGCAAAAAAGCCCTACCAAAAGATATAGTTCAAGTTCAAGTTGGGCCTGAGTCAGGTCGGATTCAAATGCAACTTAGCCCGTTAAGAAAAAAAGGATTTTTGAACAGTCGATATTTTTCCCGCTATATCTTATTTTTGCCGACATGTCACTGTCATGGACCCAAAAATGGCATGCGACTTAAACATCAGCATATTCTATTGGTTTGATGCCAAACCTGGCATGTCGGCCTCCATGTCCGACATGACGGCTGACATTTAAAACACTGCAAATGGGTAGAGGTTCAGGCTTCAAAGCTTGATTGCATATATCTATTTACTTGGTCCGTAATTTCCTATACCTGGTACCAGTGGCATTTAGGCACATATGAGATATGCAACTGATAATCAGTTGTAGAAATCCTTTTCTATGTTGTTAGTTGTGAACTTTTATGCAGACACATATAAGGCCAAATAACTCATATTGTGACACTGCTGCTTACATATATGTATCGAGATAAATCACCGCTTACAATACTGACAATGATGGCATCAATAGTAGCAAGCAACCAAAAAAAGAAAAAAAGAAAAAAAGTATTTCGTGGATAAATATTTAAGGCGTACAAAAAATTTACAAATGAGTATCATGCGCTGGTCCTAGTTGTATCAAAGTTTTCATGTGATCATCTTTTTTTTTCTTGTGCAAAGACAACAATTCTTTTTTTCAGTGGTGAGAGTGCTTTTTTTTGTTGTTGATCATGGTATCTGTATATTATTTACATGTACATTTTATCATGGATTTTATTCTGTTTTGTGTGTTCCCGCAAATCCGCAACTACTTAGTGAAGATCCTCCACGCAGGATTGCTACATTGATATTTGCTCTCCAGAAGTCCTCAGTCTTTTCACAGATAATTTTGACTATCAACATCTGCGGCGTCATTTTGTGAAGGGACTACTTGTAGATGATGTAAGCTTTCTTTTATACACTTGCTGTATCTGCTTTGGAAAGTCAGTTGTGCTTATTATTTTATGTGCCATATGAGAAGACACTAAGGATGTCTAGTTTGTTATTACTTCATCCACTTGTATTGTATTGGCACTGTAGAATGAAGTACCCTCTCTTGTGATATGCGGTTTCATAGTAACATTTTCAAAATATGGTTTTCCTAAATAATAAGCTTCTGAGGATACAAATATTTGTAGTTTGTAAGTTATTATTGTATAGCTTAATGCCGAAGTGAAGTATGCGTGTAATGAACAGGATATTTTATTTCTTGGTGAACATGATAAAATTAGTAAATGAATCCATTCTAGCTCGTTCATTAGATGATTATGTTTTACTTTTAAATGCGAAGGTGTATTACCTTCATAAAGCTTCAAATTGAAGACTCTGAACATTAGGTAGATTTTTTTTATATTTGGGGGTTTTGAGTCTAGAGAATCCAGGTCTAGAAGTTTTATACTTGACATGTGAACTGGTATTACATCAATTGCTTCAAGAGCTACGCATATTAGACCTACTTTCTTGTTTACTCAATAGATACAACTTCTTTTGGTAGCCAGACTCTTATTGGTGGTACTAGTAACAAATAGATGTAGTATTTTTTTCCAGATATAGCTCTACGAATTTTTTACTGTCTGATAAATTTTTCAAAGACTCGTTTCATAATTCTTTAGTTAATTATGGTAGAAAAACATGAGTTTCCCTGAGTCCATAAAATACCGTCTCCACCAAAAGCACTCGTGGGCCATAGTCACCTGCTTATTTGCCTGACTGATTATACCTCATTGATATGGGTAGCAGAAAATATCTTACTTGTGAATCACATTTATCTTTGGTGGTTATGCAGTTATTTCAAAATGAAATTCTTATATGTGCAGACTCTTAAAGATTTAAAAATTTTGTGAATGTTCAGTTTTTTAGTTTGCTGAGGAAGCGATCACCAACCTAAAGTTTTGCATTCTGTTATTCATGTTAGAAACATGTTGTTCTTTTCCTTTAAGTTCAGCGAGGAAACTTCATGGCGGCACATATTTTTTCTGTGATGAGGTTTCCATCTTGATGCTATTGTTGGAAAATTTCGTAATTATGAAATGAGTAATGGAAGCTACAGATTACTTTAGCTGTCATTCTGAATGTTTGTGTCCTTATTTTTTAAACCTATATTACTGTTGCTTAATCAATTCAGATTATGGGTTACAAAATATTCACTCATGAAGTTCGTTCATGTTACGCGGCAAGAGTTGATAATTTCAGAAGTTATGATACAATCAGCAAAGATATAATGCAAAGATGGACATATCCTTTGGTTCCAGATGTTCGGTATTTTGGAAATTTCTCAGGGATCAAGCTTGACAGGCAGGGAACTTATAAGGCACCTGGTAAGCAAAGAATGAACATCAAAAATTAATATTGACACACTGATTCAATGTTGTAGTTTGTGATTTTCCTTGTGTCTGACTGATTGTATTATTGTTATCATTTCTTATTGTCCTTTATTTCTTTTAGTGTTTAACTGAGAAGTAGCTAAGATGCTTTTTATCTAATTTTTTCTTGTCTCATTATTATGGTTTGCTATAGTTTACAGGAAATTAGATTTGGTTACAACCCAAGTGATCTAACTCTTGAGCATGTCTTGATGCTCGTCACATAATTAGTGTAACTAAGTGTAACTGAAAAACAATTTTATCTATGTATGTCTTTAGCAACAATTTTATCTGTCTGTGTAGGCATACGTCTCGCTGAGGTTTCTGTTTCGGAAAACTTGTCTCTTTGTCCCGTGTAGGTTACCATGAGTCCCTGTTTCTAAACTTTTATGGTTCTTCATACCAGAAATCATGTCTATATCACAGGTCCTTAACTTTTGAAGTTCTCGATGTTGAACACTTCGTGTCCATGTCTCTTGTTTGTTTTTATAGAGCATAGTTAGAAATCCATTTCTGACATGCCAAATGCTCTGTACTTGATTTTACTGTCTATACCACATATGATATTGGTAATCCATCACACTCTATCACATATTACCATTAAAGGATTGTAGCGAATATCGTTGTGTCACGGTGGTAGAACTTCTTTGCTGTATGGAACTGGTCTTGGATTCAAGTACGGCTCATGTAATTCATAAATATGTCGGTTTAAGCAAGTAAAAAAGAATATGCATTTGAAAGTTGGTGTTCCTGTTATTGCTTTAGGTAGAAGTGGTGAAGATGAGTGCATTTCTAGGAGATGGGCATTGATGGCAAAATGATGATCGTTGATGGCACAATGATGTCCGTTATTGTTAGAAACCTACTTCTGATATGCAAAATGCTCTGTGCTTGATTTTATTTTTTATACCACATCTAATATAGATTATCCAACGCACTCTATCTATTACATAACATTGTTAAAAGGAATGTTGCAATTATCGTTGTATCACAGTGGTAGAACTTCTTGGCTGTATGGGACTGGTATAGGATTCAAATGTGGCTCATGTTATTCATAAGTATGCCGGTTTTAGAAAATAAGAAAGAATATCAATTTGGAAGTTGGTGATCCTATCATTGCTTTAGGTAGAACTGGTCAAGATGAGTGCATTTCTAGGATATGGGCATTGATGGCACAATGATGGTGGTTGTAGCAGGCGGTGATGACGCAACATAGTGCCAGTTGTAGTGTTACTTGTTGCCAAGGCCAACTTTCAAAGCTTGTGTTGCCTGGTTTGCATTGTCTGGGTTGTACATGATTTAGATTTCCACCCCCTTTTGTCATCCTTCCCTTCCCTATTGTGTAAAGATGTAGACGTAGGGCATAAATTAATTCATTGGAAAAAGGCAATAATTAATGAATGGAGGCGAAGATGATTTAGCAAAGAACTTCTGTATACCTTTTGATGTGGAACTGGTTTGTAAAAGTTATGAGGATTTGTTTTGAGGGAAAAATGTTTGAAGTGTTTGGTTACCCTTCTTACAGAACCCTCAAGCCCTGAACTTGCGAGAGAATGATAACTCTCTTGCATGAAGAATCGCAGGTGCCTTGTTCAGCAATTTGAAAGGTTTAGATTAGTTCCTGCCACAGATTATTTGAGCATTATGAAGTCCAATATAACTTTCCCAGCACCTATTAAACTAGCCAAATTATATGGTAAAAGCTTTAGCACTTGTCACATTCTCTGTAACTAGCAGTTCAACTCATATCTCCAACAACATGGAACTACACGGAACTATGGCATAATTATTCTTTTGTAAGGTTATTTTTTCCGTATGGGAACACAAGCTACTTCTCTAGCATCACTTATCATTAGCTGGGGCATCTTCTGCCTCTCTTTTCTTCTTTCTTCATGGTGTTTGCGAAGAACTTGAATAGATTTTTGAACCAGGCCACTATTGATATGGATCTCCGTTTCCCAATCCCCTACTTTAAGCTTCATTGAGGAACAAATTTGTAGATAACAGTATGAATGTTTAGAAAATAAGCAGCAAGAATTATGTAATGCCTAATAGTTGAATTGTTGTCGACTTCTGTGAGAAAAATGACTACGTTTAAGCTACGAAAAATGCCTTGATCCTATAGTTTTACGGTTGGAGGCTCAGACCCTTGGTTCTCTATTCAACTAGCTTAATCTCCTCTATTATATTAACAACTGTTGTGTTCTTTTTATTGCCTAATCCGTATTATTTAAAAATCTATGCCTACTCCTTGTCACGTCATCAACTACGATCATATCATAGCAGCACAGCTTTTATTAGCTCACTCTCAAGTCTTTATTGGACATATCTGTACCATCTTCAAACAATTCTGCATTATCCAATCTTCATCTAAAACTGCCTCTTTCTTTCTGCAAATGCATTAGTTTCATAGGATTGTCCCTCATTTAGTTCAACATTTCTATTTGTGCTATAATACCGCGGATTCCTCAATTACTGTTTCTTTGATTGACATGTATTGTTCCAAAGTAGTATAATAAATAGATTTTGCCTGCAGCTGTCAATATTTCTCTATAACATGTGATTTTGTTTGTCTTGTATTTTTTATATCAACAGTGATCATAATTTAATAATATGTTATCAACATGATGATTGTATTCCAGATTCATATTTTATAGAACATATTTTTTAGTAACTGCATGATACATTGTTCTTCAGATGTTATCCAATCTAGGTCTGCACAAATTGGCCCCTTTTCCTTGGTTGGAAGTGGAACCACCATTGGTGACAACAGCCATATCTTCAATTCAATAGTTGGGCAAGGTTGCACTATTGGGCGTAATGTTTGTATCCAAGGCTCTTACATATGGGATAATGTCACAATAGAAGATGACTGCAAAATTAATTTTGCACTAGTTTGTGATGGTGTCCATTTAAACGCTGGAGTCGTACTTGAACCTGGTGTGATCTTATCTTTTAAGGTAAGTTTTATTATACTTATTATGGTTTTTTGTTGCTAGAATTGAAAACCAAGAATCTACTAGTAACCATGTGTTTTTGCATGGTAGGTCGGCCATTCCTCTTTAATTTTTCCTTTTTTCTAAATGAAGAATGCATATATTGTTATACTTTTGGAATGGGTGTGGCTTATTTACCCTAATAACAACATTTTTTTTGCGTTGTGTTCTTTAACTTATTTTGTGACATACACATGCACTCTCGTGCACACAATGAGCAGGCACACACCTAATATGGTTGTATAGAAATTTACACAAACTACAGGACACCCAAAGTTAGCTGGAATTAAAATAGAAGATAAAAAAAATAATAATTTCAAGTTAAACCTCTAAATTTTCAATATTAATGTTTTAGGGTTTCTCATATACCCTAGAATCTTTCATTTTTTGATCTTCAGTCCTCATATTTTGTATTTTTGGATTACACCTGTTCAGCTCCAGCTGCAATTTTAATGCATATTCCATCAAAATTTATATTTCATGCTAATTGGATCATTCTACCTAATAAAATAGGATGGGATAATTCTACCTAATAAAATAGGCCCAATCATAAGGATCAATTGCCTCTCCTCTCCTTTTTTAATGCTTTCATCTTCTTCCCCATTCTTTTACTTAAAACCATTAACCTCTCCGCTAAATATTCATTCGAAACATATTTCTACATCCTAATCACCTCACAAATTACATCATATGTGTTGATTCAAGTAATCTTTTTTTCTCCTGTCACCATTTTCCCATACAACATTGTCTAGAATGACCTGTTTGGGGGACTATTGGTTGAGGATTGTTGATTAAGTCTCAAAAAATTTATTGGATTTTAATTTAGAGTGTTATTCATTTAGGACTAGGATTTGGATTTAAATTTAATGTGTTATTGGTTCAAGACTAGAGTTTGGCTTTGAATTTAAGGTAATATTGGTTTAGGACTAGGATTCTGACTTGAATTTAAGGTCTTATCGGCTGCCTAGGATTTTTATAAGGACTAGGATTTCAAAATCCAAGTTCCAATCCAACTCTATATATTCTTATGAGAAATTTTCTTAAAAAATTTCAAGTGAAAATTGGTGGATTGTGATCTCACTTCTTGGATTTTCTCTCTTCTCTTTACTTATTCCACCTTTAAAATACTTTTAATTTTTCTATCCATGGTGATTTAAGATTAAAACCATTTAATATATTTCATATTAATTACATGTAATATTTAATATTTATAAACTATCTATATATTGACTTTGAATATATCTAAGTTTAAAATATTTTTAATCAACCTCTTTAAATTTATTTAATCCATTTAAACTGAAATATATTCAACTATATAATGTATTAAATTTATTTAATACATTATATATTTAATCCATTTAAATTTATTTAAGATTATTTAATTATATAATGTATTAAAATTTAAATATTAAATTATGTGTGTGTGTGTGTGTATATATATATATATATATATATATATATATATGTATATGTATATGTATATACACACACACACACATAATTTTATATATAATATTTAAAATTTTAATATAATAAATAATAAAAATATTTAATATTAAATCATTCAAATAATTGATGTTGAATGTTTGATATTAAATCTTCTAATATGTTTAATATTTACATATTTAGATATATTTAATATTTACACATTTAAATATGCAAATTAGTACAACTCAGATCCAAATAGTCTATGAGTAGAAATTGTAGCCTAGAAATCTAACGCAAAAGTCAAATATCCTACTAAGAAGTCTTGGGCTCTAATTAGAAATTCTGAGTCCTAATCCAGATTCAAGAATGTTGGATTCTTGGACCATTGTCCTAGTCATACTAAATAATCCCAAACGCATAACACCCACGTAGGATCATAGGGATCAATGTTATTTATCTACTATGGTTAACTTTTAACCCCTAGAACAATTCAAGTTTGGATGAGATCTGAATAAGGGTCTGAGTTAAAACAATTAAGAGGATTTGAGATTGTAAATGATAATACTAAGATTTAGGGATTTGATACTTTGTATGTCTAATATGAGAAAAACACTAATGTGTTACTATTTCTTAAGAAAGTCAATGATGAAACATATGAAGAGTGACAATGACAACTAAGCATTTGAAAAAATATCAAAAATACTAAATGATTTTAAGATTAAGAATTTTTCCTACTCTAACTTATTGCTTGGTTCATGGTTTTTGCTTGAATCCAATAAACCTTCCTTGCTTAATAAAGCTAGGAGACTAACATTGCCAACTTTGCACCCTAAGGATTTGAGTGTTATTCTCTCTAATAAAGCTAGGAGACTAATAAATTACTTAATTTATGTCTCTTAACTCGGTAATCAATTCCATTTGTATAATATGTTTCTTGTTGAAGCTTTTATATTTTGTATGTGTATTATCAACTTTTTCATTTAGAATTATGGATTTTCTTAGCAGTTGTGATGTTTTTTGTCTCGCAGTTAGATGGTTATTATTTTATTGCATAATTACTTGACAATTATTTTCTTCTAGGTTGATGTTGGAAAACAATTTGTGGTTCCTGCTTACTCAAAAGTTTCTCTACTTCCTCAACCGTCCATGCAAGATAGTGATGATGAACTCGAGTATGCTGAAGGCAACAGTGCGGTCAATGACAATCCATGTATGATCTTTATGCTTAGTACATTTTTTTTAAATATTTATTTTTTTGACATGCTAGGTGTTGCCCAACTAAAAATTAGTGTCTTTGACAAACATGGACATGAAACCCAACCATCTTTTTCCAGCATAATTATTATTTTTTGAAATACATTTGAGAGAGTATGTCTTCCCACTTTAAAGATCATACTATAAAAATGAGGTTTTTCTTACACAATTAAATGTGCATATATTTATAAGAAATGTACATATATAGTCATAATCCATTGTTAGGAGTTGCAATTGTGTCCCTTATACAGCTAAAAAAATTAAAAATAATGAACACCTGCCAGTTCAATGATGCACATAGCTAAACCCATCCTTTGAATTCCTTGCTTGCAGACCTTTGTCATATTTTAACCCTGCTTCCATATGTGCAAGGTCCTTAAAATTGTATGTGCTTAAGAAAAGCAAATTACTATAATTTTATTTTGATTCTAGCGACTTTGCTTCCCTCATAAGGACTTTAAAACTAAGTTAGACATACCTTTTGAGTTCCTACAACCTCTTATTGTAAGAATTTATAAACCATAAAGAGCTCGGCTGCGCTATAGATTTTTGAGTTAGATAGGATAAAAAATTTACAACCTAAACATTCAAACACATATAATAGAGATCAAACAAATTCATTCACGCCTATATGCATCCATGTGGAAAAGTTTTGTGAATTGTGTATACGTGTGAACATGCATAAGCTAGTCCTAAACTTTACAAGCTTTTCCCATAACTACTGTAAAACCAAAAGCACCTTAGTATTTGAAATTTGAGCATAAACTTCTTTGTTCAGGTTTTTGCAAAGTTTCCTCATCCATCTGCAGGGACTTTCACTGACCCCTGGTGTCGGCCAGACATTTCTTTTTTGTTGAATCCAGAAGCATAAGCATTGCACCATTTTGCATCCTTAGAAAACATCATGTGAAAGTTATGAAAGAAATCTACTGGGTCTTAGCAAATCTAACATGTAGATTGGTGGTAGTTTTATGTTAGGTTGGAGGCAGATATCATAATCATCTTACATTTTTTTCTTATCATATTGGTATGAGCTACGGAGGTGAACATTTATACATCAGGTTGTCAACTTGACATTCATCCCACTAACTTGGTGCTAGAATTTTTTCCCTTGAAAAGCACTAACAATAGAAGTGCTAGCAGTTGCTTCTAGGAATACCTAAATGTTATGAGACGTGAAAATTGATAAATTGTTTGAGCTAAAGTTATATCCACTTTGGGCATATATGAAAATTTTAGAGTTTGAGGCAGTGTCTTTAATTTAACCCTTCCCTCTCTTGATCTCTGAGGCGACTGTACCTGAGTCTGAATGTATAAAAATGTTAGAAGAAAGAAAAATTCTAGGCTAGTGATGATTCTTTATCCTGGCTTGCTCACATGAAAAAAAAGCTAGAAGAAAGAAAAATTCTAGCCTAGTGATGATTCTTTATCCTAGCTTGCTCACAGGTATTCACTTGTTCATAACCTATTACACTACCCCAAAATGATGTGAGATCATAATGCTAAACCTGTGCTGTCACTGCTACTCCTTGTCTACACTTCAATTTTGATCCTTATATATGTATTTAACCATGGATTTTGAGTTTTTGACATATTCATCTCCATTCTCTATACAAAGATTGAAGTTGTGAAATTTCCGGATAATATTCATCTCTCTTTATTTTCATGATCATTTATATTGTATAAGAATATGCTTATTCTGCAGCAATTACGAGTATGGTGTATAATGGAGAAGCGAATCTCATGCCAAGTTCATTGGATGCAGAAGTGCTCAACACTTCTAAGGTACAACACAATATTTCTATTTAATATTGTTATGTTTTTTATTAGCTAAATTACCAGGTATTTTTAGTAGGACTGTGTATCCAAAATGGCCTTTTTTTCACTGGCGACATAATGGTATTAATATCAACATTTGATGTCAATTTGGTATTTTTTTATATCGCAAAAATAACCAGTTTGGTATATTTAGTAGTAGAAAAAATAATCAGGTTTGATTTAATTTTGATATTAATACCCTAATGTCGCGGGTGAAAGGAAAATACCATATTAGAAGCATGATCATACTGGAAATGCAATTTGGTAACTTAGCCTTTTTTTTAATTCAATATTTGTGCATATAACCACAATATAAATTTGTATGGGTTCTTTGTTGGTACTGTTTTCAATGCCTTTTGGTAGTAAGAGAGACTAGGCTCTAATAGGATAGAAGACGTGAGATCCTTTTGAAATATTACATTTAAAGATTCATTATTGATCTCTATGTCTAACATAAAATTATCATCCAATTGGCTTCTATATCTCCTACTTTTTCCATTATACTAATTATTTTATTTTGGTTTATTTTCTTAATATAACTTGGTTGTGAAATTTTTATTTTAAACCTCGACTTGTTGATATAATAGTTATGTAACTTCCATAATACTCACATTTTATATATCTTTAGTTTTTATTTTATATGTTGTTGTGACCATAAGTAGTGTAAGCAAGAAATTGTCAAAAAAGATTAATCACTCATATGTCAATATGCTTTTTAATGCGTCAAAGCTTATGATAACAGATGACATTAAATTCTTATGAATAAAAAAATAAAAGAAGAAAAAACATCATCCATGTTGCTCCTTAAGAGACAGGTGGGCATAGCCAAAAAAGGTAAAAATTAGCTTGAATTTTAGGTAAAAAAAGGTCAGCAATAAAGACTACTATGTTAGTTTCTAATTAGAATTGAGCCTATTTCTTGCTTAGTGCTTAGTAATGGTATTCAAATATGATCAAATACATTTGAGCAAACCATGCCCAAAAAAAGAAGAGAGAAACGTTAACAAGGTCTATATTAAATAATTGAAGCTACTTTTAAGATCCATTAAATAATCAGGTATACAATCTTTATTGTTCTTAAACTAGTGTCTTGTATGGTGTAACTAATCTCCTTAGTTGTGTCTCATGTGAATTTGTTAAGTATGAATTTAATATGAATTTCTCATCGCGTTACATATTTTGCTATATGATAAAATGTGCAAAAAATTTCAACTTTCAAGTTGAAATCTTTGATGTCTATTTGATTAATTTTATGTTTTAACATTTGTAATGTCATAACTAAATTCAATGCAATAACAAGATCGATAGTAGTCTAGAAAAATATTATCAATAGTTATCATCAGCAAATAGAATAATCAAACTATTTGACCACGTGCAAATGCACGTGCTAGTAATGTTAATAAGAAAAAGTAATAAGACAAACTAATAAGAATAAATTCAAAAGTAAATATTTATCATTAAATACATAAGTACTTCAAAACATGCATATTTAATCATTTGCAAGTAAGAGAAAGAAAAATTTTTTAGATAAAAAAACCAATTTACTTTTACACTGAAATGCATGATCACATCACATGTAAATACATGGTATGATCATATTTATATCAGTTGCAAATAAGATATAGAGAAAATGTATCCATTATTAGACAAAATTGCGTGACATAGTGTTCACCAATTATCCAATTATTGATTAACTAACCATTATCCTCAAAATAATCTTGTGAAATCTCTAGAAACATTCATCACAATGTACCTGGATCTTTAACACACACTGCTTAGAGTAGGCTGCTTCGTATTACAAATAGATAGATAAATTAGTCCTTAAATGTAAACAATTCTTTTAAAAAAAAAATCATAAAATGAAATGTTCTTGAAATCACATACAATCCTTTCGAGATATTATGGATAAAAAATTTCAAAGGAAAAAAAACTCTCACATAGATGGATGCACACAGATCCAAACTGAGATATAATCAGATTCGGTTGGTTCGATATAATCAGATTCAAAAATATGCAACCTGATCCAAACTGAGATATACTACAAAATCGAACCGAATCATTAAAAATCGGGTACTTTGGTCGGTTTTATCGGTTTAGACCAGAGTTTGCTCAACACTAATATTAACCATTCATCTAGACAATGAGATGGAGTAGTTAGGGAGGGTAAATATTTTTTAGTTGGGTAGGGTAAATATCTTTTCTTTTCTACAAAAGAAACAACCAAATGGATGGTTGAGATGTTTCCACATCACTACTAAGGAAATGTTAAGTATCGGTTATCGGAAATATATCGGACAGCCAAAATTCATATCGGATTCTGGTTATCAGGATATATCGGGGATGCTGAGCATTTTTAATATAATGTCATAAGCTGTAATCTAAGTATATTTAATGAAATATTGAGTGAGTCTTTGAGAGAGGTCGTCAATAGAGGTCTTCCAGTGAGAAATTTGCGAGTGATTTGGAGGAAAGAGCAGTGGAGGCAGAGCTTACACGATGAGTGGATGTAGAATAGAATAGGATAGTATAGTTTTTGTTTAGTGGATGTGGATCGAATATAGAAAAAGAGGGTTTTTGCCTCCAAACGTGAACAAGTTCACTTAAAAATGTAAACTGTAGAAAACCGAACGATTTTTAACCCAGGAGAAATCAGCCTCTTCATCGGATTTACACTGATATATCAGGATAAATCGGCCAAAAACTATATGCGATAAATTTTACAGGAATCATATTGGCTATGCCCCAAAACCCTATATAGCGGCGATAAATCGGTAAAATCGGCCTATTTTTAAAACACTAATGATATGTCCTTGGTATCAAGGATATCTCTCTCTCTTTTTTAGTAAAGCTGTAAAGCTTCTATAAACTTATGTAGATAGAAACTCTTGTCTACTAACTTTTTAAGCTTTGATTTTGATTTTGAGCTAGAGAAGAGGGTATCTTTGAGATGTGTGCATTGATTAGTACAACATGTTGCACAAATCTCAAAGTAAAATCACTGGATTAAACAAGTTGGTGGACAACAAACTTCTATTTACTTAGTTTATAAGAGCTTTACTGACTCTCTCTGTATAGTTGTGTGTATATATTTGCAATAAGAGGTTTTAAAAAAGATATTTAATACATACATGTATACATAATATGTGGATGCACACAGATGGTTAAGCATATTTCTAATGATACAAACCATGGAAACATCACATGTCTATGGACATGTTACATATTATATAGTTTTATGAAGCAATAGTCGTAGACTCTTAACTAGTAAAGAATAGCTTATTGTGTGTCGTTTTCTTATTTTAATATGTTCAAACTTCTTATAGTTTTATACGAGTTGAATTTTTTAAGACCTTTTTCAAATTATAGATTTTGACATATAAATGAGAGTAAATGAATATATGAAGCATGAATGTAAAAAAGTGTTCAAGGAAGTGTTCCATTGTCGGACATGTGTCGCACATTACGTAATTGAGGACACAATTGAAAAGTGTGCGTCACATATGCGGTGAGTACTAAGATATGCCTTAGATGTTCACGTGTTGCGATGTTAGTACAACTTCATAATAGGTGTTGTCTTTCTCGCATAAATTTTTTTATCGATTTGCAAAGAAAAAGATTATGATATATTCATGTTGGTTAGATATTTAAACTCTCCTGAATCATGTTATTACAATATCTACTGTTTAATATTTTTTTCTTATACCCATAACAGTTTTTCACTTTTAGTTCCTTGAAATGTATAACCAAATGTCTAACTATAGAAGTTTAATCGTGAGTATCTAAAATGTGCAAGTCATGATTTATGAAATGGCCAAATTGGAGATGACCCCCTATATGTAGCTTCAATTTCACCTATCACCTATCAACTATTTTGCTAGTACTTACCACCTTTGGCTTCACATTTTGAGAAGTATAGTGGTGCAAATAACCCCCCTTTTTGTTATGAAATCAAGGGTGTTAAGCATTACTAAATAGTTGAGGGGTGGTAAGTGTAATTGCAGTATCGGTAGGGGGTTGTCTGCAATTTGCCCTTTTTAAAATTAAGTCTCCAACCTAAGCATGTGTAGGAGTCCGTACATATTTTTATATCGTTTGGTTTTATTTCTTTTGCTTAATGAAAATAAAATCTCTATTATCACCTCTTTCTTTAGTTTTAACTTTATTTTTAGCAAAGAATAAAATTGATGTACTTTGTCCAATTATGATTTATCAAATTGATTTTAGATATGTCAATTTGCATTAATTTTTGTAATTTAGGTTTGGATTATTTTGCTTGAATAGGTTAATCGTTTAAGCTTACCAATTATAGGTTCTCATTTTAATTCTACTAGTATAGAGTACGAGCGTTGGATGTGGAAATACTTATTTTATGTTCAATATTTGCATCAAACTAATAATTAAATAACAAGTTAATAATTTTATCCTAACCAATAATTTGAAATAAAAATATTTAGTTATTAGCTAATAAATTAATATTTAGTGAAATTAATATATGTTTTTGGCCCAATAGAAAAATTCAGCTCAAGTCATAGGTTCGTCAGATATTGATGAATCACTTATATTCATTAATTAACATAAGTAAATATAAATATAACAAGAACTTACTCTATATATTGCTTGATACGTTGGAGTGACAGTTCCCCTCAAAAACAATAGTGAGCAAAGTCTGCTTAATCAATAATTAAACATGTCTACCAATGTCTATCACTTTTGAGACTAATAATAGTTTTCCACCCGATCATCTAATGCCGATCTAATGTCGCCGTGGTCTAGAAGTCAGCACATCATTAATTGGATCTTTCTTGGATCACATCTCATAATATTTTTGCTTTTTTCCTTGCACGACAAAGACCTCAGAGTATCAAATATCAAAAAAAAAAAAATAGAATTATATGAATAATACTCTATGAAAAATCATATACATGAAGGAGTAAATAAGTTATCCATCAATGTTAATTTTAAATCGCTATGGAAAGTACATGTAACCATTATTAGAATTAAAAGTAATTAAAAAAAGAATACAAAAAGTTAAAAAGTCTTAGAAATCAATGCAAATAAAAAGCTGAATAAGTACAAGCAAAGATATCAATGAAATCACCAAACATAAAATTAATGTCTGGGCAAATATAAACCTCTACATGATTCTTTTTTTCCCACAAGCCTGTACTATACTAGGCACATGTTGGAAGATTGTGTGCATGAGTCGAAGATAAGAGGTTTATGATGATGACCTTTTATGGTGCAAAGCAGAGATAGGAGTTAAGAGATGAGAATTTGATTAAGTTTGAACAAGCATTAATCTGTTAATTGCTTTAAGATATAGTCAATTTAACTCATAGGTGAAATATTTAAATTCAGCAAAGATAAAGGTTATAAGTTGGGAGTTTAATGGGTTGGAATGGAAATTAATGTGTTAATGGGGTTATAAACATATAATCAATCTAATTCACTTGTGAATTATTTAGGGAATATGCATAATGTCTTTAACTGTGGGTAATAAAAATTTGGTACATAAATGATTTTTAGGTGCTAAATTACCTCTCTAACCCTATATTAAATATTTTTAAGAAGAAAATCATGGAAAAAAAAAGAAAATTTAGTACCTTGATCTGAGAATCTAACAACTCCTAACTTCCAGCATACTCCGGCAACACCTTAGTTAAACATGAAACATTGCAAGTGAAAGGTCTCTATCCCTCGAAATCTCTACAAGGTTACCATCCAATGACCTCGCCTCTCTCATCTTTGCATTTTCTCCTCTCTCATAATCACCATGCTATTATTATGACCAAAAGTATCTCGTGTAGGACTAAACTCTCAGTGTCTCCCTGTTCTAAGAAATGCTGAATAATTCTCTAAAGCAAATCAGCATCATACAAAGTCTCACTCTTATTATAACTTGGAATGAATACATTACCCAAGCTCCCTTGTTCTAATTACGTTCCTGAATTTTTCTCCAGTCACCGATGCTAAAGCAACATTCTACATATCTCATTGTTTCAATCGTCTTGGAAGAGGCTACATCATCCACTAATGACATTCCTTGTTCTAATTGCCTTCTTGCGTTTTTCTCCAATTCAGTCACTAATGCAAGAGCAACATTCTATTACCTATCTCCTTATTTCAATTGCCTCTTGATGAGGAATTATAATTATTATGCTCTCAAGATATCATTTTTTTCCCTTTCATTTTCAAAATACCTAGTCATTTAAATTAATTGCTTGCCCAAAGTGAGAAAAAATACTAGGTTTGGCAATCATATATCCTTTCATTTAGGCTTCAAGAATCAAAATTGGGATTTGCAAGAAGCGACAAGAATTTGTAAGAAGACAGCAACACAAGGCCTTCTCAGTTGACATGTCATTACTTGCAAGGTGTCTTTGTCGATGATGATGCTTCGTCGTTGGCAAATTTGGTTGTGATCGGGTTTATGAAGAGAACAAAAATCCTAACCCGATCTTATTTCTCTGGGTTTTGATAACTAGTCGAGTTTTGATAATTGTAGTTGAGAGGGTTGTACTGATTTGAATTTAGATTTGTTTTGTTTTTTTAAAACAAGTACTATAGAAAGAGGTAATTTAGCATTGAATGTTCTTGTCGATGGCTTTTAGCAATCACATGCATTCTAATATATGTAGATGAATAAGTACTCAAAATGATTTCACACTTGCAAACTAAAGCAATGAATGTCATAGAATCATTGCAACGACATAAAAAAATTATCAATAAGAAAGAGTTATTTTAAATCCTTACACCGGCAAAACCAAAAAAAAAAAAAAAAAAAGAAGGATTCCATTTTCAAGTGTACAATCTAAAAAGTTACTTCCAAGTTACATTCTAAATCCTCTCCTATTAGAATTTTGAAAAACACTCAACCACTCTTCAAAGGACCAAAATTACACACACACAATAAAAATCATCAAATTAAACAAATCTCTCCTACAACTTTGCATATCCACCCAAAATTCAAATTACAATCCAAGAGAGCAATTAAGCAACTGCTCTAATTCTAGTGTCGTCATTCTTGAAGGTTGAATCAAATAGAGGTCGGGATTGTTGGCGAGAAGTCGCGAGCTGTTGTAGAAGTGGAAATGAGAGAGATTGTGAGAGACAAGGTTTTAAACGTTGGATGTCGGGTTCATGTCGGACAACTAAAATTCATGTCGGATAGTGAAAATCGGGGATATGTCGGGGGACATATACTAAATATTGGATTGCCATATCGGATAGATTTCTACTCAATTTTGGTCAACAAGATAGAATGTACTTGTTTTGTTATAGCTTATCCTACTTGAGTTAAGTATTCATCATCAAGACACGAGTTGTTTTTCATTTCTTGAAGGAAAACATTAGACTATTATGCCAACAAATAAATAAAATACACATTGTCAAACTAGAACTTTCGAGGTGCCTTGCAAAAAATTAACATGAAGTAAAGTGCATTGCATAAAATTGACATAAAGTGTTAAAGACTTCGAATTGATTCAAGCTACGGTTCAAACTTATTGTTTACATCACGCTTTTATGAATTCTCAAATTCAATTTTTAGAGACGAAGACGAACGAGAGGAGATCACGTCGGGAAAGAGAGCAATATTTTTTCTTTGCCCTAATCTGTATTATATGCTATCGGGTTACTATAGGAACAAAAGGCTAAAAAAAGAATTAATCAGGTTAGGCTTTTGAGTATTAAACCCAAACCCCAATACTTATCAACTCAAAAAAATAAAAAATAAAAAAATCTGCCGATTTCTGATTTTTCAATGTTGAAAATCGACCGATATGTCCGTAATATCCCCGACATGTCCAACATGAGCCTAGAAAACGATATCCGACTTGAAATGACCATATCCATGTCGCTTCAGCCTCTAATCTGACATGTCGGCCGACATGTCGCTGATATTTAAAACCATGGTGAGAGGAAGAGCTTTAATTTGGAGAAGAGATCTTTTTTTATGGAAGAGGAGAGATTGATGAGAGGGGAAGAAGTGAGGATTTGTATTTATAGATGGATTGTGAGGATTTGTATTTATAGATGGATTGTTTTGGCGGTTATAAGATGGAGAAGATGAAGACGTTTGAATTGAGACCACATCTATATATAATTATATGGTGTAAATTTATAGATTGAGAATGCTTAATCATGATTCATGGGAGTTCAAAGTATTATGAAAAAACATTTAAATTATCTTTACCAAACTAACCTTTTTCCAAATATAAATACAAAAAGCTATACAGGCAGTCTATGTTGTAAAAATGATTGTATTAATTTGAAGGGTTTGATGGTCATGAGGTAGTGGCGCATCTAGCAAAATAAGCTATCAAGGGATAAAGGAGGTGAGACTCACACATTTTGATGTGACAAATCGGGTGGGTCTCACTATGTGGTTATCTCTTGGTAGCTTATTCAGCAAAATAAGTTGTCACTTCATACCTATTTTTTTCCTAGTTTGAATTTTATTGTAATTATAATTGAATGGGAATTCAAATGAAAACTGGACAGTGTAAACAATCTGCATACCTATCATTTTTCTGTCTCTAACTACTTGACACAATTTGTCTGGGACATCTTGTGTTTCTTTTGTTAGGAACTATTCTTTACATTGCTGGCTGAAATTTTTGATAGTTTATTACATTATTATCTCGTAACTTAATATCAATTCCGAGGCAATCATGGTAACATTTTCTATGACATTAATCCTTATATTTTCTTCCGCTGTGATGATTATGTAATATTTTTGACATTGTCAACAGTCAGCATACTTCACCGTCATGCCTCAGCTTGCATTTCCCTCCATTTAATTAGACTAATCCCTATCTCAGAATAATGCTCTTGTTCATGTTTTACTGATTTTTCATATTTTATTACTTCTAGGCTTCTATTGTTGGTGCTTACATATGGTCAGGTGGTGAGCCAGGGCTTGAAGACGAATGGAAGCATTCAATTGCACCAATTCCTATTGAAAAACTTAATGAATTCTTTCTTGATCATTCTTTTGATTTTGATGAATCAAACCAAGATGTTGTCTGTCTTCCGCCTTCTGGAGAGTTGCAGCCTGATTCAGGAAGTGTTGGTTTTGATGATGATTATAGAGATTCTGCTGATTTTGAGAAAGAGGTAAAAAAAGTATAGAACACTAAATTTTCACGTGGAATAGTCATCCTTGTGTCCATAGATACTCATTTAATTTATTATTTTCAATTTAAGGTGGAAGCAACTTTCCTACGAGCTTTTACAGGTGTTGATCAAGATAATGTGATTATAGAAATTAATTCATTAAGGTAACTCTATTCCATTGTGCTCTTCAGTGCAGTATTTTATAGCATTCATAAACTTCTTCAAGTCGACTATTGGTATCTATAAGTTTTAGAAGTTTAGTTGCACTGTAACAATAAGGTTTTTCCATAATGCAGTTCTTCCCTCTCCACATCTGAGAAGTAGCTTACTTTCCTTTGCGAAGAGATGGAGAAATATTAGAACACATTGTCTTTGTTAGTTGTTGATGTCAAGTATTGCACATACCCTAGTGTTGTACAATTGGCCCTTGGACAAATTCACCTAGATTTTATTCCTTGTTCTCTCTGCAGCTATTGTATTTTCTCTTTGCAATCATCATGACGATATCAGAATATAATGAAATGTTGCTGCTAGGTGTTAGTGATGGAGCATTATCTGCAAGTAGGCTTATTTATGAGTTTTGAATTGCACGTGCCACGAATATGTATTAATTTAAATGAAAATATAATGACTAGCCTCGAATGAACCTAGGCAAGATTTATCAAAAATCTTGTTTTAATGAAGTAAATTGTATCAGGTCTATTTTTACATATGTTACTAACTTTTATCTTAGACATTAAAGTATGGAACTGCTAATGCTCCTTAAACATTTCTTTTCATTCTCATCCAATAAAAGAGAGGAAGTTTTCTTATGAAAATGCGAGCGTCCAATGTCCAATCCTTTTATTGTTGTACATTTATCTATGTTATGCTGAGATGAAGAACAACAGGGAAGATTGGGGGTATAGTTTCATAAGCTAAGGTGATAATGATTTGAAAAATAAAATAAAACAGAAAATAGAATATCCAAACAAAGATCATATGGAGGCCAGCTACTTTAACCACTATTTCCTATCAAAACGAAGAAGAAATTATAAACTATTAATTAAAAAAATATAAAAAATAATTAGCTCTTGTCCATACCTTCTGTAACTATTAAATTTGTCCCTTCTTAGTTCTTACTCCCTGAACTACTTTTTGTCTCATCTTACTTGCTAAACTAGTAATTTCGTTTCTACTTAAGCCCTAACCTATTTTTAGTCTCATTTTACCCTGAGCTATCACTTTCCATTCTAAATTCATTTAAAACACCCACAATAATATAGGAAAAGTGGTAGATACTTAAAGCGATAGTTGAGGGTGTAAGCGTGGATGAATTAAATAGTTTAGGGGGTAAGATGAAACGAAAAATAGTTCAGAGTGTAAGAGTGAAACGAATTCAATAATTTAGAGGCTATATAGGACTAAAAATAATTTAGGGGATAAGAAGGGAAAAAATAAATAGTTTAGGGGGGAAAATAAGGTATGGAGCTGAAAGAAAGACATATGGGCACTTGTTGCATAAACCAATATCTCTTTGAAGATTATTTTCCTTTGGCTAAATGGCACTTAAATACCCTATTGTTGCACTAACTTTACACTTAAATATCTTGAGTTGTAAAATGTAGCACAAAAATACCCTAAGTTATTCAAAAGTAGCACAAAAATACCCTAAGTTGTTCAAAAGTAGCACATTGTTACCTTATGTTAGTTGGATGTTAGAATAATTTAAAGAATATTCTCATGCGCTTAGCACTTGACCCTATTTATTGCTTTAATTACAATTTTACCTACCCCTTCAATTTATTATCACCATTTCAATGGTGGTATTTTTGTGAAAATAGCTAGTTTTTAATGGTGTTAACATGATTCTAACGGACAACTTAGGGTATTTTTGTGCTACTTTTTACAACTCAGAGCATTTAAGTGTGAAGTTAATGAAACAATAAGATATTTAAGTGATAATTACCCTTTTCTTTTTGAACTTGATGATCATTTATATAGATTTTTACGACGCTCCTGGTTTCACACATGGCTGCAGTCCAAGGTGAACCTAAAGATGTCAAACCTGTCATGCACCCAATACTGCGCAAAAACATGTTTCACCATCATATTAATATCGCTCTAGCTGATATCAAAAATAAGAAGTGAGGGTACAAGCAGATACGTCAAAGGTAACAATACAAGGAACACAATATAAAGAAGAGGTATTCAATAATAACTATAATCATGTTCCAATAGAAAAAAATAAAATACATCTGATAAACAAAATTAAGAACATCAAATCTCTAATACATAAGAGTCAACTGAAAAGTACATAGACTCTTAGCCTCCAAAATGAAATGCATCTCTAAAAGAAAACTAAAATCATAGATAATCCACTGTGGAGCACAAAATAGCTACATATGAATGACGGTGACTATGCTGAATCCCCGTCAACTTACGACTCTCCGGAACTCTGACCCGTTACCTGAAAAAAAGGTGAAAACAACAGCGCCAGAACGCTAGCAAGAACATCTACCTACATCATTTACCATGTATTAAGAGGAGTTGATACTTAGAAATCCACAACTTGAGATGAGTACGTCGAGCGAATAATCCAAACAATAAAACCCTCATATATATACCATGTATCTCAAATTGTGAATCGCTAAATATCAACTCCAAAATTCTATAAATAGACAAACAACAAAAGGAAACACATCACTAACACCTTATCCAAAAATATGTTATAGATGTCATATAATAACATTTCACACTATCCTTGGGTAGGTGGCACGGAACGAAAATACAGACCTGAGAGATACCTCGTCAAGGACACATCGTACATGTCTAAACACAATATTACACACACTACCCTCGGGGTAGATGATACGAGAGCAAATACACAATCCTGTATAATTCTCTTCAACTAAAATGATGTGGAGTATAAGTGATCATAATATCCTGTGGCGCATCGCACAATCTTGCGGCTCACTACCTAACTCGTACACCTAGAGGAGTATAGGCATGTCAGCCTAATCCGGAACACCATGTAAACAAAAGAGATGTGGAGTCTCGGTACTCACAGTATCATGTGGTTCATCGCGATCTCATGCGACTCACAACCAAACTCGGACATCCATAAAGATGTATGATGCGGAGTATATGTACTTGTAATATCCCACGGTTGATCGCAATCTCGTGCGGCTCACAACCTATCTCGGCCATCCATGCAAAAATTGACACTGACTAAACAACTCGATAATTGTTGCTCCTACATTGCGACAGCTCGACATGTGACTACGCACTCTTAAGGATCCGTGTGTGCTTAAACCAAACGTGTACACCACTATACACACACGTGTATCGACATACAGTCCCGTCCTTCGTGTTCACGGCCAAACGTACGTAGAACATCATCATAAGCAGAGAAATAGCACCAAATCAGTCGACTAATTTTAAAAATCGGTCAGCTGATACATGTATCGGTCGACTTATAAATTCCATCGATCAACCGGGCAGCGACGTACACAATTGTGCATAGCCTCAATCGGTCGACTGATCCATGGGGTCAGTCGACTGACCCTAATACCGGAACAAAACTGTTTGTTTTTATAGGGTTGAGTATTTCTCTCAAAACTCGTTAATTATTAACATAGAGTGTACCATATGAATTAAATCTTGTATAAACTACGTGTAAAAACGGCCAAACCAAAACACATCAACAAAATTTGGATTTTTAAGTTTTAAACTCCCTAAACATCACTTAAACAGGTTTTAGTTGTTTAATTAGGGTTCTAATCCTAATCAATTCATCAATTAACAATTAATTATGGTTTTAAACATCGAGATCTTGCATTTTCTTCATTTAGTGTTCAGATCTACAGATCTATTCATCCAAATTTAGGGTTTAAACCATTAGAAACGAAAACTAAGGGGATGAGCTTAGAAAGAGATGAACTTGCCTTGATTTGATCGTTTTGATCTCCTAAACGCGTGAGGAAACGCGATCCTACTTCACATTCCAGCGTGAAGTGTAAATGCGGCTATATAAATAAGGTAAAGACCAACAATATCAAAACTAGTAATATATCTGCTCGAACAGGTGTGGGTAGTCACGACCCATATCCTCATCGCACTCCTAGGAAGCTTCTTTAACTTCCTTCCTGTTCTACTGCACCTTTACTAATGGGATGCCTTTATTCCGGAGCTTCTTGTTCTCCCTTACACGAATGCGGACCGAGGTCTCAATTGTAGTCAAATCTGTCTGAAGTTCTAAACCCGGTACATCAACCACTCTGTTGTTCTTCGTCTCGTAAGTGTTTCTTGAGCATCGAGATATGAAAGATATGATACACACTCGACATTGCTGCTGGAAGGTCTAGTCGGTATGAGACAGCTCCAATACAATCTACAATTCTGTACGGACCAATATATCTCGGGGCAAGATTTTTCCGTTTACCAAACCATTTGACACCTTTCATAGGTGACACCTTCAATAAGACGTCTCCAATTTGAAATTCTAAAGGTCGTCGTCTCTGATCTGCGTAACTCTTCTACCAGTTCTGGGCTGTAAGAATACGCTCTTGAATCAACGCTACTTTCTTCGTAGTTTGTCTCACAAGATCTGGTCCAAGCAGTAAACTATCCTTTAGCTCTCTGCCCAATAAATTAGAGATCTACAGGGCCTTCCATATAATGTTTCATAAGGAGTCATACTTATGATCAATTGGTAACTATTGTTGTAAGCAAACTCAATTAATTGTAAATGATCTTCCCAACTGCCTTGGAAATCTATCACGCATGCCCGAAGCATGTCCTCTAATATTTGGCTGACTCTTTCTGTTTTACCATCCATTTGTGGATGGAAAACACTACTATATGCTAGCTAATTGCCAAAAAAATTCTAAAAGTTCTTTCAGAAATGTGATGTGAATACTGAGTTACGATCCGACACGATCGGCTCTAGAACTTCATGTAATCTCACAATCTTCCGAATGAAAATCCTTGCATAAGTCTCTGTAGTATGAGTTGTCTTAACTAGCAGGAAGTACGCTGACTTTGTCAATCGATCAACAATAACCCAAATGGAATTAATTTCTTTTTTAGATCTCGATAATTCTATAATGAAATCTATCGAATATCTATCCACTTCCATTCAGGAATAGATAAGGGCTGTAGGGTTCTAGCTAGTTTTTGATGT